ACCTGGTGGCGGAGAGGGAGAGGGAGGAAGAGGAGCAGGATAACACAAATACAAGTGTAGACATGGGTGTGTGTATGTACGTATGTATGTATATATGTATGTATGTATGTATGTATGTATGTATGTATGTATGTATGTATGTACATGTTACAGACCCGTGGACGACCACCGTAACTCTTTAGGAAAATCCCCAAACACAATCACACGCACACACATATATACATACACAAACACATCCTTTTTGTGAAAACACCTTTGCCTCAACTACCTACCTACCTACAGACAGACAGACGTACATACACACACAGAGGTCCGCGCACCTCCAAGTAATTGGGTGCTCGTCGCTTGAGCCGCTCAATGTCGAACCGCACATTCTTCTCCGCGTCGTGCCAGTCCTGTGTGTGTGTACGAGTGAGCGTACGTCAGTAAGTGGGTGTGTGCATGTGTGCATGTATGTATGTAGGGTTTTAGGGTTTGCACAAAGTCACCAACATTCCGGACCGCCGACGTGCAAGGCGCTAGCTGCCCACCCCCCCCAAAGGTGTTTGTGCAAGTAGAGGGGGAGGGGGATTTGGGGGTAAGACGAACCACATGTTGGGTTTTTTTGGGGGGGGAGGTTTGGAACCAGACGCCAAAGTCCGGGAGGGGGTCGGGGGAGGGCCGTGGGAGAGAGGTGTACGGCAAATATATCTGGACATGTAAGCGAAACAACCACCCAGGGAAATAAAGGGTGTGAGTGTGTGTGTGTGTGGGGGGGGGCCGGGGTGGTGGTGTGTGTGTGTGGGGGGGGTTACGTAGGGGCACGTACGTACGACAAAACTCCTCCTTCCACAAAACCTTCAACACCTCCCGCAGGCCAACAACAGCAACACACATGTATGTAGTGGCGGCTCGCGGCTCACATACGCGCGAACACATATACACATGAATATATACATACATTCATACATACACTCATACGAACACACACTCATACCTTGGCGACCAGGCAGCAGGTGGCGATGTTGACCACGCGGCGGATAAACGCTCGCTGCATGTTGAGCGCAAAGGCATAGCACTCGTCCACCAGATCCTCCTCCTCAATCACGTAACTGAATCAGGCGGTTAACAGTTGACAGTTAGGAGGGTTTTGCCGCGAGTTACACAGTAGCATGAAAAAAATGACTATTTCAAACCGTTTAATTTACGTTGACAACAGTTCCTCAGGGCCTTCACAGGCCCCGGGGGGGCTTCCTTGGTTTGGGACCCTAGTTGACAGTTAGCGGTTAATTTGCGGTTGATGCTCCCCCTCCCCCTCCACGCTCTCCACTGTCGCTTTCCCCTCCAACCCGCCCTCCCCTCCCCTCCACCCCCTCAAGGTGCCGAGGTCCTTCACAACCCCCCCTGCTTCCTACCTTGGGGTTTCCTTTCGTAACGAGGCCCCCCCCTGCTCCCTAGTCCCCCCCTGCCCCCCCCCTCGCAACCGATTTCAGACATCAACGTCACTTCGTCATCCCGAGGTCACAGTCGTCACAGTCGCCACGGACGCCTTTCGGTCAGTTTTTACGTT